TTGTTGTTTGGCGGGCCTGGGCTGGATTCGAACCTGCCACCTTAGGTGTATGTGGCTGGTGCCTTAGCCACTTGAGCCACAGGCACCGAGCCTCCTCATACTCTTAAATCAATGCATTTAGTATGAACCAGATACTTCTAAAGCTCTACTGGCCAAGAGAGTTGCTGTAAGATACATATACTATTGAGTACTAGAAATGAGGCCAGTCTAAACTATGATGTGTTACACATGTAAAATACACAAATTTTAAAATAAGAAATGCAAAATATCTTATTTTTATACTGATTACACATTAAAATGTCTTTAATATACTGATTAAATAAAACCTACCATTAAAATTAATTTCCCCTACTTCTATTTATATTTTTTAATATGACTACTAAACCATGTAAAATTGCATGTGTAGCTTGCATTAACTTCTATTGGACAGTTCTGTTCTGGGTCATCAACATAGTGTTAGTTTAGAATTTACTTACAGCTCTAAAGAAGATGTGGTTTTCACTCCAACAACCAAGCTATCATCTATTACACGATACCATATCTTCTCTACCAGTTGCTTTGAATCTTGAAAACTGTCTGGTAACTTTTCATCAAAGGTATTGACAGAATTTTCTTCTTCACCACAAAGGAGAGCAAGAGATTCCTTATAGAAAATGTTTAAAGTAACTGATTACAAAAAAAAAAAAAAAATGTACCAAATATAGCAAAACTAATAAAATTTAAAAAACCAAAACCACCTTGTGGCCATACCCTATGGCCTAAACATTTTAAAATAAATTATAATATACTATAGTATAGATCATATACAGTTTACTAAAATAAAAATTATAAAACACATAGAATTAACTATCAGATCAAAAAGCATGGCATGACTAGAAACAAGATGAGGTATCCAACATAGAGCCAGCTGGGAAGTAAATCTGGAGTCCATTTTGAAAAAATAATCTGACAATATGTTCCCCAGGTATACTGAAAATAATCCAATTTGTGTTTTATCAGTGACTTATCAGTTATATCAGCCTATAACTAGAAAAATTTGTATGAACAGAATTAATTAAGCTATTTTTGGACTACTTATACCTACCTTATTGTTAAAATTTTATGCTTACAGTCCAAGTCTTACCCACTCATTCCCATATACATACAGATCTATAACTTTAGAAATAGTAGTAGAAATAGTAATAATAACACACATTTACTAAAGGCTTACTTTACACCAGGCACTGTTCTAAATGCCATTCATATACCAATTCATTTAATCCTCACAATAACTCTAGCACTCTAAATCAGTAGTATTGTCATCTACATTTTACAGATAAGAAAAATGAGGCACGTGGTAGTTAAATAACTTGCCCAAGGTCATGTAGCTAGCAAGTAGCAGAGATGGGATTTGAACTGAAGCAGGCTAGTTCCAGAGCCCATGCTCTACTTTAATCATTAGTCTATACTACCTCTCTATGTGGTAATTACTGAAAAAAGACACAGGCACTCAAATAATAGTAAACTAAACATGTTCCTATGAATCTTGACACTTTTAGCTGAGTTCTGAGGCAGGCTATATTCATCTGAAACCTGAGGAAATTTTTACTACCTGCCAGGCTTGCTTTTAAAATTAACAAAGTAAAGGTTCAAAAACAGGTTCTTGCACATAGTGGTTTCAATAAATTAATTTCTAAATACTCCTTCCTCTTTATATTACTGGCAAAATTGCTGACATGAGATGGGAAAGGGAAAAGGAGAGACTTAATTTTAACAGTGATTTCTGAGACGTTTCCCAGGAAATTACAACAGTAATATAGAAATGCAACATGTGTTTTGTTATGTTGTTTACAGTAACAGGATCATACTTTGGATTAAAACCCTCATATGGCTAAGACTTAACTATAGACACAAGGCATAGACCATGGCAGGAACGGCCAACCCAGAAGGAAGTCAGAGAGAAGTACTTAAAATGACTTGGAATAAAATGCAGCATTTATTTTCTCCATGTTCACCTTTTCTACTATGCTGTGTCTTTCTCTGTATAGAATGAATGTGCATAAATACTATTTTTTATGAAATCTGAGCATTTTTTCCTTATTTTCAGTATTACTGTACTGCACAAGTACTGCAAGGTACCGAAGGATGTTCTTATTGAGATGGTCAGCCATGAGGAAAAAAGAGAGTAAAACTATAACAAACAGATCTAAAAAAAAAAAAAAAGTGATTTGGGAACATTTACTAGAGTAAAATAATATCCTTAGAAATTAACAATGCAATAGACTAAAAGAATGAATGTTAAATAATGCTCAGAATATTCTATTTAAGAAGTTAGGCAATAACTAATGCTAGGAAATAACATAATTCACTTAGATTTTCCATCCAAACCACACAAATAAGAAAGTTTAATAGTTACATTTTTTTTAAATGAAAGGACTTGTTCTCCAAGGTTCCTGATAACTGAGATTTTAATTTTCTACAGAATTTTACACAAATTAGCAAAATATTGGCTCCTTAATCAAATACTTTTCAATGTCATAAAAGTCTACCATTATAATCCATGCCACTCTTCTTCTTGATCCAATGAGCATCATTTTCTAACATAGTCCAATTTAAGTAGCTCTTCAATAGCTTACAGATTTTCAACTCATAAAATGATTAAATGGTCACATGATTATTTTACCTCCTTTACACTTGATGTATTGTCATCTCTCCCTTGAAGCAGGTTTATTAAAGCTTTGTAAGATTGCAAAATAATTTTATCCTTTAACAAGATATGTTGTTGTAATCTCTGAACAGAAGCCACACCAACCTGTAAAGTAGAAAGAAAAATAGCTGCCAGAGACACAATTTCAAAGGAAACCGGACATACTATTAATTCAGGAAGCTCTTTCTCCAAATGAACTTATCAATTCATTGTATTCTATAGAAAAGTACAGAATACTTCTGAGAGCAAAACTTTTATTTATAGATTTTAAGTCTCTAACTACAAAAACAATGTATTCTTTTTCTTTCCAAGTAAAACATAGCAAATACAGATTTTATGTATCAAACCAAGAACATGCCAATGTATTAGCATCTGTTTCACTATTGAGTTATTAAGTAACTAGGAATCAATACAATTAAAATCAAGGCCTACAAACACTCCCACCCCAACAAAAAAACCTGATTTTTGTTAAAAGCAAAGCATCCACATAACCAGAGATATCATAATTAATAAAAATGATCACTTTTGACACTGTTTGAAATCCTCTGCTCATGTAACCTTTATAGTAAAATTTTATTTTTTTTTTTTTTTTT